AAATTCATTAGGAAGATCATTAAAGGCCAAAAACAAAATAAAAATAATTGTGAAACTAGTAATAATAACATAAATAAGAAAGAATATAAGTCATCCACAGTTATACCATATAAAGAGAGGACATCTGAGACACTACGTAGGATTCTGAATAAAATGGGAATTAGGGTGGCATTTAAACCTACAAACTCACTCAGGGACAAGCTCTGTAGGTTAAAGGACCCAGTTGACCCAATTAGATAAAATAATATTATTTACAAAATACCATGCAATGACTGTGAGGTCAACTACATAGGTCAAACTAGTAGGTCAGGGGTAGTCAGATTGTCAGAGCATAAAAATTTAGATAAGGTAAGAATGGTTGACCCCGAGAAGATAAGTAATTTAGAAAAAAGCTCAGCAATTGCAATGCATGCGCTAACACACAACCACACAATAGGGTGGGAGAGGGTTAAAATTCTAAAAAGTAATCTAGGTAGGTGGAGAGAGAGGTTGATTACTGAATCCCTGCCTGGTTCATCGAGTCTACACCCAAGACATGCAATAGGAATGAGTCGTCACTCATACCTGAAATATGGAAAACACTACTACCAATCAAATCAAGTGAAAATCAAGAGAAAAACAATGGAACTATATAAATGAATTTAGGAAGTCGTGTGATTATCTTGATATGATTATGAGCAATAAATTGTGCTCGAAACGTCATCAGTTCATATAACTGTAAACACTGTGCGATTTATCAAAATAAAAATCTTATCTATATATCCTTGGATCTCAAAATGTACTTCTGAACATCTTACAATTAGCTTTCAACTAGATGTTGTTGATGGATTTCATGAAGGAGACAAAGCAGATACCTATGAATGGAGTGGTTTCTGCTTCAGCTCAGGTACCACTGTGTCACAGGATGTACTAGTGTCAATTAATATTTTACTTGAAGATATTGTACGAAGGGAAAACATTTTACAATTGGCTCCTCTGAAAATTCTATACATTCAATAAATACTGTTCAGAATAAAGGTGTGAATATTATTATTATGACAATGTCATCTAAATATCTCCACCATAATTTTGGGGTGAGGTTGAATGTTTCAATCGCTATATTTTCCCACCTATGCACTGTACTTAGAACACAGGATATAGACAGATAGATTTTTCGAACTCATTAACTCAAAGTTGGAGGCAATTCAATTCACTTAGGAATTGGAAAGTCAGGAAGGAAAGGGAGCTTCCAATGTTAGATTGTAGTGTAAAAAAGGAAAGTAGATGAAAAGTTAAACACATACAAGTGTGTTTACAGGAAATCCGCTGACACATTTAAACAGATATTTAGACTTCCAGTCATCCCATTCTATGTCAGTAAAAGTAGGATTGGTCAAATATTTAAGTAATAGAGCACACAAAATAAATAGTACCAAGTCAAATCTAAAACAGAGAGTGAGGCATACAAGCGAAGATTTGAAACTTAATAATTTCCCTGATTTTTTCAAGTATTGGTTTTGTAGGGATTTTGTTTGATTGCATGGAGGATTTCTTCATGAGCTGACATCAGTCGAGTACAGAAGGTTGAAGATGAGGCAGTAATTTATCGAAGAAGACATTGCAAAATGGTCGCGCTATTCCGTGAATTGGCAGAAGCTAGAATTCATGGACTGGACATTGGATCGAGTCCCAGTGGCTCAATGGTCTACGGGCTCGCTAGCCTTGTAACCAGAACGTCCTGGGTTCGCCTCCTGGCGGTGGGTGCGTACTGATGAAGAGTCCCAAACTGGGACCAAACAGCTGTCCAGTACTCCCAGGTTTTCTAGTGGTCCTCTAACTAATGTCAGCTCATGATGAAATCAACCATGCAATTACTCTGATACATTAATCAGAAAGTATGTAGGAAAATGTAAAAATCAAATAAATAATGATAGCAGTGATAGTGATAATAATAATAATAATAGTAAAAGTAATGACGACATGCATGTCAAACATGCGCAAGATAATGACAATACCAACAATAAGGAATCTAAATCGTCATTAGTACTTCCATACAAGGAAGGAACCTCAGAAACCTTAGGGAGAATTCTTAACAAGGCAGGAATAAAAGTCGCATTCAAACTTCCCCACAGACTCAATTAGAAACAAGCTATATCGGTTAAAGGATCCTGTGGAGCGAATTAAACAAAACAATTTAGTTAATCTAATACTCTGCTTTAACGATTGCCGGGTGAAATACATAGGTCAAAGTAGTAGAACAGGTGCAGTCAGTCAGACTAGCTGAACATAAAAACCTAGCAAAATCTAGATTAGTTGACCAGAATAAGATAAGAAAGCTAGAGAATAGTTCAGCTATAGCACTATTTGTAATTATTTACAACTATCCATACAACTGGATGGTATCGGACGATAGTGTCGAAGTCTAATGTCACAGAGTGGAGATGAAGATTGATAACAGAAGCTTTGTTTATTGGATCAACTGCGAATCAACACGTAATAGGAATCATTCAACATTTGTCCACCTGGACATCCGGAAAATCTTGCGCTATATCGTGAACTGGCAGAAGTTAGAATTCAAGGACCATTGGATCGGGTCCCAGTGGCTCAATGGTCTACGAGCTCGCCTTGTAACCAGAAGGTCCCGGGTTCGAATCCCGGTGGGTGCATACTGATGAAGAGCCCCAAACTAGGACGAAACAGCTGTCCAGTTCTCCCAGGTTTTCCAGCTGTTCTCTAACTGATGTCAGTTCATGATTAAATCCTCCATGAAATCAAACAAAATCCGTACATAACCAATACTTGAAAATAAATTTTGTTCCAAACGTTATCCAGTAAATAATACTGTTTCACACACTGTGTGATATATCTAATTAACAAATTAATATGTGCGTCGGTTGCACAGTGGTTAAGACTCTCGCCGACCATGCATATGGTCCGAGGTTCGATCCCCTGCCCACCCACACCTGATATCTTTGGTTGGCCTGCAAAATTAGGGCTACCGATATCTATGCTGAAAATTCCATACTTGTACCAAAAATACAGTGTGGAATCAAGCTATAATAAAAAAGATATTTAAAAACATATAAAAACTACTATCGTGCCTAAGTTTTACATGTATATTTATATGTTACTCACAACTTTTATGAGCGTCTGCCTTCAATCGATACTGAAAACCATATGCTCAGAAAGGATTATAAACGAGTAACTCTGACAAAAAACAAGTCAACAAAGAAAGGGAGAGGAATCGAATATACGTTAAGGAGACCATTCACAGACACCATACCCGCCAGACAAACCCTCAAGTGAAGGCCAAATGGGGAAAGATGAATTATACATGGGTGAGGGATGACAATGATGAAATTGTATTTTGAAGAAATGTAAGCTTATGGGCAATCGTGGGGATCCAGCTAAAAAGGACTGCGGTAGACAGAGTGAAATGGAGATTCGCTATTGTAGTGGTTTCATTGGGGACCTGAAAGGCGTAATAATGATAACATCTAATGGTTACGACAATTCGCTTTCTGAAAGATACCATTATTGTCTTCTGGAATCATGGTTTGTTTGTAATCAAACGGTTATATATCAAGAACATAACACACCATAAGTCGTCACATGGATGTGACAAATGTTGCTTGCCTACTCATAATTGCTTAGTCGACTCGCAGTCACGTTTACAATATTATAAACAACCTAGGTGATTCATCATCGTGAGTACACTTTGTACTGATGTCAGATGGTTAGAAGTGATCACCGATAAACTCTTGACCTAAGTTTCATGCTTACTGGCACGCACCAGGCATGGTGGAAGGCATGTCTTCAACACAAAGCGAAGTGATGTCCACTAGAAGACTGACTCATGGAATTCAGATGGCACTAAGAAATATATATATATTTATCATTATTTCCCTTAATTCCTAGAGGAACATAGGATTTCAGCTGCACGTCTCCATTGCGTTCGGTTTTCTGCAATAGTTTTCACCTGGATCCAGGTCTGCCCACTCCTCTTCACATGACCTCCTCCAAGTCACCCTTGCACTGACGACCAACTCGCCACTTTCCTTTCGGGTTCCACTCGAGGGCTTGTCTAGTGATGTTACTTGATGGTTTCCTCAGAGTATGGCCAACCAATCCACCTCCATTTCTTCCTGTTTATTTGTCTCACAGTCGGTTCCTGGTTGGTTCGCTCCCAGAGATCCCTGTTGCTGATGTTTTCTGGCCGGCCACCTGATCTTGATTAGTATTGAGCGAAGACAACTAGCTGTTGATGAAGGTCTTTAGTTTGTTTGAGATGCTCCTTATGACGCGACAAGTCTCTGATCCATATAGTAGCACTCACTGACTTCACATTGGAGTTGAAAATCTGGATCTTATTTTTCAAGCTGAATGCTGATCTCCATACACATTTAGTAGTAGTGAAAGCTTATCTTGCTTTCCCGATTCTTGCTTTGATATCCTCGTCAGTTCCGCCTGCAGCTGAAACGATCCTTCCCAAATAGGTAAAGGAGGTCTTTTCTTTCAGATTCCTCCTATTTAGGCTGATTGTTGTCTGTTGTTGTTGCCCAGGAATTTTCATCACTTCTGTTTTCTCTATGTTTATTTGGAGTCGTATCTTTGATGCTTCTTCAGCCAACTTGTTGTTTTTCATCGCTTGCATACCTTCCAGTTTGTGAGAAATCAGACATATATCATCGGCGAAGTACATATCCTCCAAGTTTATATATATATATATATATATATATATATAACAGTATTTTCTCTCCATTTACCAGATAATGTGTCCATTAAAGTCCTACATCAGGTCAATCACGAACGCAGATAGCTCAGTAGTACCGTCTCTAACAGGAGTACTTTTGGGGGATGGGTTACAGATATACCTTGCTGACGGTTGCGAACAGGCCTGAAAACAAATGATGAGGGCTCCTAGCCGACTGCCGCCAGACACATCAATTCAAATTACCAACATGCTGATAATTGAGCATTCATTACTTAATCAGTAGAACAGAACCACTGAACTAACTTACCGACTGACTGGATTGTAGTCTATTTCTACTAAAAGCTCCAGGTGACTGATCGGTCAGAAAGTGTTTTTCCTTTTCACCAATCCATGGATGATTTTCTGGACTGTTGTAAACAAGAATAATCCAAAGTAGTGAAAATATTAACGCAATTACACCAAACAGGTAATGTACATTATACCAGTAGGAGACATAAATTGGTTTAGTTTCTAGAGGTGAATGAATTGCTCTCGGTTGTGAAATGATACCAGCTGCTGTTTGACCAAGGACAGTACCAAATATAATACCTATTTTAGATGAAAGAAACAAGAAGAGGTTTTAAGTAGTGAAATGCAAAACAGATAATTAATATAGTGGAAATACTGAGGTATTACAGTGATGGTATTAGATGGTTGGAGGCAGTCGCCAGGAGGAAGCCCAATCCGACTCTAGTTTTTGTGCAAGTTGGAACTCTTCAGGAAGGCGTATTTGCAACCTGGAAGGAACTCATGTTCCCTCTGAAATTCGAACCCACGGTGTCACCCACTGAGTATTGCAGTCAGAGACGTCACCACTGAGCTATTCGGGTTCGCGAGTGATCTCTTGTAGAATTGTAGTGGATACTTTGATGTGACGCTAGTAACTAGTGTGCTGTGTCTAGTCTCAGGTAGGGGACATGAGTTCCTTCAAGGTAGAAGATACGCCTTGCTGACTGGTGAGTGCCAGCTGGCACGGAACCTGGGTCCAACGCTTCCTCCTGGCGATTGCTTCCAACCATCTAATATCATCAAATCTATGTGCACCATGATGGCGGGCTACCTAGTGGCATGGTGGCCACATTACGAACCTGACTGAAAGAATTCAGTGTGCACCAAAGAAAGGACTAGCCACATCACATTAGTTACTAGCATTCAGTCAAAGTATTAGAGTAAACCTCATTCGGACTATATCTTTGATGTAGCTCATTGACTTAAGCAGTAGGGTTTCATGTGTTGATTTGCACGGATTACATTACTGTCATTATTAGTCACGAAATAACTTCATTTAGAGAATCACTAGGAACAAGAGAGCACTAAGTTTCGTCCTCGTTTGGGAGTCTTTATCGATGTGAGCACATGACCCTAACCAGCAGGGGTCTGATCCCCACTATGTGGTTCATGGGTGGGTAGTGGAGAGTAGAGTTTCAAACAAGGTAAAAACAGCCTTCATATCCTATTGGTCGACTTTAATAGAGCGAATAGTTAGGTCCATTTAACCTCAAGGTTGACGTTATGTCATTTCTCTCAATGTTTGAAAGGCTGGCTGTTGTTTCCGCGTCTAGGTGGGAACATTATCATACTGCAGTACAGACACACATACATCTGACGAGTCCGGGAAATATTGAAATGCACATCCTGGATTCTACTGCTTGTCTAAAACTACATATTTTATCCCGCTTAATGATTGCTACTTTTTGTACCTTTTAATAACATAGACTCTCGTTTCATTTCTATTTCTCGTTGAGAAAGATTAAAGCTCAACCCTGACATTAATCACTATTCACCCCAGCTTGCACAAATGTGAATTCTACACCTTGTCATTGGTTAGTTTTTATGCCCATATTCACAACAGTCAACTCGAAGCATTTAGCCCTGTGAAGGTCATAAATAAAGAACTTTTGGACAATAAAAGAAGCAACCTAGAGGATTGGCCAAAATCTCTGTTGTATCTTTCTGCACTAGACTTATTATTTGTGCTGTTTATACATTTTAAACATAAAGCTACGCAATGATTTCTATAGAAAACCTAAAGTCTATAAAAATATTCATAAAAGTTGAAAATAGCGTGTTCACTTCGAGGATGGATAGTCCAATACTGTGGTAGTTCACAAAACACGAAACATCTGTCTAAAAGAGTGACGGGTAAACAACATGTCACTAGGCTATCAAAATACTAATTCCCTCAAAATCCTATGTGTTTTGAATAAATTAGCAGCATATCATTTACTTTTAATCGTCGAAAGTCAGTCGAAGAATCGCTAAGCTCAAGCATTTCAAGGTAAGAGGCCTATTTGACATTCGGCACTAGACTGACAATGCGACGAATATCCCCAATAGGCCACTTACATGTTCTCTGATAATTAAATTTCGAAAAAGGAAGGAGAGCTTGCAATGTTAGATTGTAGCGTAAAAACGAAAAATATGGGAAGTTAAATACGGCAGTGTATTTACAGGAAATCCGCTGACACAGTCAAATAGACATTTCTACATTCGATCAGCCCACCTTATGTCAGTAAAAATAGGATTGGTGAAATGTTAAAGTAATAGAGCACAAAAACAAAGAATTACCAAGGGAAATCTAGAACAGGAAGTAAGACACATAAGAGAAGCATCAAAGATTAATAATTAACTCTATAAATTAGTCAGAAAGTACGTAGGGAAATGCAAAAATAAAGTAAATAGTGATAACAGTGATATTGATAAACATAATAGTGATAATAATAATATTAATGATGACATGCGTGTCAAATATGCGCAGGATAATTGCAACACCAACAATAAGGAATTTAAATCATCAGTAGTACTTCCATATAAAGAAGGAACCTTGGAAATCACCTGAAAGAGAATTCTTAACAACGAAGGAATAAAAGTGGCTGGTATCACAACCCACAAACCCAACTAGAAACAAGCTTTGTCGGTTGAAGGATTAAAACAGGACAAATTAGCTTATCTAATACCCTGTTTGAGTGATTATCAGGTCAAATACTTAGGTGAAAGTAGTAGAATAGGGTCAGTTAGACTAGCCGAGCATAAAATCCTAGCTAAATCTAAATTAGTTGACGCGAATAAGATAAGAAATCTAGAGAATAGTTTGGCTATACCACTCACTGCATGCAGTTACACACAACCAAATACAATAGGATGTGATCGGATGACAGTTTTAAAATCTAAACAGGTTGGAAAGAGAGAGATTGATAACGGAAGCTTTGTTTATCGAATCAACTGTGAATCAACGCGAGTAATATGAATGATTCAACACCTGTCCCAGATATCTGGAAAATTCTACTACCCCAACGACGACAAATAGGAGAGAACAAAGAAAACTATAAAACTCAAGTTTCGAAGTTGTGTGATTATAATTGATGAAGTAATTACGAACAATAATAGATTGTGTTCGAAACTTTGTCATCCAGTAAATAATACTGTTACACTCACAGTGTGATACATCTAATAAACAAAACAATGCGGAATTACTTACTACCACAGTGCCCAAGTTTCACCCATATATTAATTAAATTTCAGTTTGCTAACATCGAGACCAGTTAATTCATCGATGACCTTTATCTACTGCTCAGACTACTGATCAGGTCACAAACTTCCTCAAGGCACCTCAGTTAGCACCAAGATTGTCTGACCTACACTGATTATCATTGAATCTGCAGTCATTACCGAATAACATAAACGAAGAGTTACTGTCACCATTTTCTGTGAACTTAAATCACTCAGGATGAGATTGCCTATAGAAGAAAGATAGAACTACTGAAAGTTTGCAGTTTCCACTTTGATCTCACCAATGTCAATAATACACATAAGTATAAAACTTGGACACTGTGATGGTAGAGTATAACTCCATTATAAATAAGATTTTATTCTGATAAAATCACTGTGTTGTACAGTAATATTAACTGATGAGACCATGTTTCGAGCATAAACTATTGCCACTTATAATCATATCAAGTCACTCACACAACTCTCTTCCTTCATTTATATACATGAGTGGAATTGATGATTAGACATTTGAACAAAAATCAATACAGGATAATGTACATTCAGAAATAGTAATATGAGTGTTATTCATCAATTACAATCAGAGATGGGAAATAAGACGAGTGTTTTTATAGTCATAATAAGTAACTTGTTAGAATGTTGTGATGTGCCTGAATTGAAATAGAATTTTGAGATTATTTATTCTATCTGTCTGGATTCAACATAGAACTTGGCACCGAAGTGCACCAGTTCGAGTTGCCACGTTCCAAATAGCACACAGAGGTAGACAAGAAGATGAGTGAAGAGAATCAATACAGTCTGACAAGTATAGGAGTGAAACAGAATGGGTAATGGTAGAAAGGAATATGAAAGATTACAGAGACTGAATACATCTGCGCTGGCCATTGACAACGATTTTGAGCCATGTCACCTATTGTCTCCAGCCATTGATTCCTAGAGTCCCGAGGGCCCCAACCGGGAGTCTGCATCTCCCTACCTGACTCAGTTTAACTGTCAAGGATTTCATGGATTTATGCCATGTTTTTGTTTGGCCACCACTGGCTCTTTTCCAACCTTCACCTATGTCAGCTAGTAATGCCCGTCGGCGGGGGAGGGCGATGGTTAGGCATGCGCACCACGTGACTTAACCATCTCAGTCTATGTAACTTTATAGCCTCGTCGATTGATTTTCCCTCTTTGCCCAACACTCTACGCCTAACGTCAGATTATTTATTGCCCTCCTCTGATGTGACTGACTGACTGGGGGTAGTAATATCTTCCATACTTCTGGTATTTGGATTGAGTCATTTCTGTTGCATGTGTTGGGTGTAGACTCGATCAACCAATAAGGTGGGAGAGGGTCAAAATTCTAAGCAGTAATTTTGGTAGGTAGGGAGAGAGAGAGAGTGATTACGGAATTCTGATTCATCGAATCAGAAGAGGATAGTAAATAATTTCAAAATTCTATTTCAATTCACGTATCTCATAACATTCTAACAAGTTACTTATTTGGACTATAAAAACACTCGTCTTATTTCCCTTCTGATTGTAATTCATCTATAACACTCATATTATTATTATTTCCGAATGTACATTATCCTATATTGGTTTTTTATTCAAATATATAGTCAATTCCACTCATGTATATAAATGAAGCAAACAGTTTTATGAGTATCTTGATATGATTATGAGTGGCAATACTTTGTGCCCGAAAGGTGGTCATCAGTTAATATTCCTTTATAACACAACTGTATGATTTTATCAAAATAAAATCTTATCCATAATGGAGTTAATATCAACAATCGTTGAGTAATATTGCCATATTTCATTCAACCTACAACATTTATCATGGCGCGCATTTCAACTGAACATCAAAGTAAATTTGATAAAATTAAGATGTTGGTGTTAAGAATAAAGGCCAAATGTAGGCCATTCTATGGTCTTTGCTACGAAGGTCAGTATACATGTACAAATTTATACACTTATACCTCATGTTAACTGTAATAGTACATTTCTGTTATAAAAATTTCGGTCAGCAAACAAATAGTCTAAAATAAATATTT